AGAACCAGGAATAACGGATTTAAGTTGGATAAATTTAGATTTAGAAAGGACATAGGTAAGTAATGGTTTTCTAACATAGTGGTCGATGCGTGGAACAATCTTTCGAGTAGGGTAATCGATGCTAGGACCCTGGGTAGCTTTAACAACAGATTAGACGGGAGGAGCTGGGTGTGATTGGTGTCGTGGGTACGATAGCTTTGGGAAGGGGGTGGTTTTGATAAGAACCTGCCTTGTATGTGCCAGTAGGCCGTCTGCAGTGCTGATAAATAAAGACACATGTGGAACACTTGGGTATCTTTATTCAGGAAAAGATACCCAGGTGTTGCACATGTGTTTAATTTATCAACTTGTCGGTTCTCTGAACCATTTATCTACACTTCTGCAGTGTTCCTCCACTCATTTGTTCTTATCTTGCATGTAGGCTTGCAGCAACAGCCTTGATGACTAAGATACACGTGTGGCACCTGGCTATCTCCATCAACATGTTCCGCCTGCGGAGCACGGCTGCGGAGCAGGCTTTATCAATCTGATAATGACATGAGGGCGTAGCCTTTTATCCTGGCTCCAACCGGTATCATAGTTTAATCAAACAACAACCTTGTAATTCGAGTCCGGCAGCAACAATAATAGCCAAGTGTGCTGACCTAGCAGCCTCAACAACACTGTATATAATTCTGGCAGCACCAAGATGCAATAATCACCAATCAGTCCAAAAGAATTGCTTCAATAAGTCTTTGGTCATCTTTGACCACAAAACCTCGTTGAAGGCCGCTAGATGAGACGCACCTGGTCCCATTTCTACAAGGCTTGTCTGCCGCCCCTTCCAGAGCCAGTTATAGACAACTGTATTGTATTAATTTGTCAATCATCTACTAATTCATTCGCTACATTATTCGTATATATGTATTTAAAATACCACAGTGAAAATAAAATAGACCTGAGTGCTTCATGTGATAACACATACCTCAGAGATAGAAACACAGAGCGATGATTGTTTTTCTATTTTCACTTGGATTTTATATATTGCAATCGTGTTACTGTATTTTTTCCATGTAGGTTAATGAATCCCTAAAGTGTAGACACTTGTTATGTCGTAATAACTCACACAGAGGAGAATACGAGGCTGAAGAATCTAACACCCAGTTCTGAGAGTTCCAGAGACAACTCAGTTCTGAGTTTGTTCCATGTGGGTTATTATAGATATGAGCATTGATTGGTATTGGGAAGAGTATGGGATGGTGAAACATAAGAAATCTAACACAAAGTGGAAGTTGTCACAGTTGCTTTCTGCTGATGACACTGTTTTTGAGAGATTCTGAAGAGAAGTAGAGGAGTCTGCGGAGACAAAAAAAAAATTATCTACTGAAGAAAAGAGGGAAAATGTATGACAGTACAGTGGTACCAACACTCTTTTAAGGGTGTGAATCATGGGAGGCGAATGTTGCAACACGGAGAAGGCTGGATGCAGTGGAGATGTCGTGTCTGAGGGTAATGCGTGGTGTGAATATGCAGAGAATCCGTAGTTTGGATATTAGGACAAAGTTTCTAAAAGTATTATCAAGGAGGGGTTGTTGAGGTGGTTCGGACATTTAGAGGGGAGGGGAACAAAATAGAATGACTTGGAGGGCATATAAATTTGTAGAAGTGTGAGCAAAGTAACATTTATGAAAGGATCCTGAGAAACGAGTTAGCCGGACTTAAGTCCTGGAGGTGGGAAGTACAGTGCCTGCACTCTGAAGGAGGGGTGGTGATATGTTGCAGTTTTTTAACTGTAGTGTACTCACGCCTCTGGCAAGACAGTGATGGAGTGAGTGATGGTGAAAGTGTTTCCTCTATTTCGGATTATCCTGCCCTGGTGGGAAACGGCTGATATGTTAATGAAGAAATGAGTATATATGAGTCTTATTTATCATAAAATTCACAATAACGTAGATGGAATAACGGTCGAGGCGGTATTCTCGGTGATGACCACTCCTCCGCCTTTGTCAGCTATGGTGATCCTGATGTTGCGGTTCTTACCTCACTCTCTACGGGCTTCGATGTTTCGTTTTGGTAGTGGAAGTATAGGGGTGTCCTGCAGTGCTATTGCAAAAATGCCCTGTGTGAATCCTTTGTCAACACATCACCTGGATGAGGTACGTTGACAATATCTTAAGTCATCGTACCGAGGTGCTTCACCGTACACTTCAAAGACCAGCTGAACCAGGTAAAGAATGACACAAATAACGTGCACTTAGGAGACTTAAATTTATGACTAGTCGGACCAAAACGTCGTCATAAATTTTAATCTTCTAAATGTAGGTTATTTGTGCACTGTTCCAGCCACGGTATTATTTTTATTCTTTCCAAACCAGATAAAGCCTTCAGTATAATTTATCTTGGACGAAGTAATCGACGACATACTGCCTTTCTTGGATGTACAGCCAAGGACAATGGATCCAACTAAAAACGTACTTTATACCGTAAACCTACAAATAAAGACTTCATAACTGACATTTTCTCGTGGACACTTAGGATCTGCAGGGGCGACTACTTAAAGACATGTTAGATCACATACAAATTCCTCAAATTTCCTCGGCACATGATCTTTTACTGCAAAAGGATAGCGGACATGATACACTTCGATGCCAGGAATCAGAACAACATCGATATTGCTATGGTTACCATCAAAACCACCAGAGATATCACGAGAACCTCCACACCATCACCAGACTCAAGGATGCAGGAGTCTTCAGCATCCCGTGGGGCCAGCAGTTACAGCCTAGTTGATCAGGCTCTGATCCACCGGGAGGCCTGGTCATGGATCGGACCGCGGGGGCGTTGATCCCCGAAATACCCTCCAGGTAGACTCCAGGTAGGTAGATCCCCTGCAGTGGATGAAACTGCTAGGGGGTCTTCCTACAACCCTACAAGAACACAAACATGCCGGTAGATCAGTGGTATACATTACCGACAAGATGATGAATTACACACATTTACATCATCTAGGTATCTTTATGTAGATGTTTCGCCATCCAGTGGCTTTATCAATACAATACATGGACATAATCGGAAGACTGTAGATATATGTACCGACAGTGCAGGACGAGGTAATCAGTCCCTCAGCCTAGGAACTGGTGATGAGCACCTGCTCCTAGGCTGAGGGACTGATTACCTCGATTTCCACTCTTTTGTATATAGTTCTACAGCCTTCAAATTATGTACTGATAAAGCCATTGGATGGCAAAACGTCTATATAGTAAAGATATCCAGATGTTGCACATGTGTTTAATTCATCACAAATATGTCTGTAGAATGGACAGCTCTAGCAACACTTATTCCCATATTATAAAGTGGGACAGATCCAGGTTATTCTTTCAAGAAAGTGACAAGTTTAAATATAGAAGTCATCTACAATCAAGCTACGTAACACTATAATAGAAAACTGTGGAATGTTTATTTTAGTAACGCATATAAGACCTCATCTTGGAGCAAAGGAACCTAGCGTAGGCCTCTCGTTGCCAAGCTACTCGGCAGTCTCATAAAGTTACCTGTGCTAGGCAGGAACAACTCAAATCCAACCTTTCTCATTCATATATTTGCTTTTAAAATTATACTTAACCACACGATTCAGATGCTTATATAACTTGCATTTTTTCTCATTGTTCTATGTACTTAATAAAACCCACGTATAGCTGAAACGTAAATTGATACACATGCAACTTTAAGACGAAACTGGCGACAAACTGTCGTTGCTTGACGTCTAAACATACGAGGTCAATAATTCACTCAGGTTCTTCAAGGTACATACAATGTTTGACAAAACGTTATCATTCCCTTTTACTTCGGTAGGGACACTAACTCCAAACGACACATCATAACAGGCGGGACCCACTTGTGCAAGTAGGTTATACCTAAGAGTTAGCCCAGAGATTAGCAAATAGGTTGACGAAGGTATCCTCTGTGTCCAACTACTATGGTACACAATGCCAAGATGATAAACGATACACCATAGAACCTTGGGGTACAGGGTATAGGATACCCTCTTCAACCTGTTTGCTAACCTCTGGCCCAACTCTTGGTCCATCAGTGTGTGAGCAGAAGCCACTACCAGTTGAACATTAAATACAATAAATGAACCAATCCAGACAAATTCTCATGAATTAAACCTCACGAGATTGTTGAGAAAGGACATACAACAAGTGGAAAAAGGAGGAAGAATAATGTTTGTACATTTCGAATTCCAACTGAGGTCCTCTTTAGCAGAATACATGTTGTGTTGTATATCATGTTTTAATATATCCCAATATTGAAAAATCTACACACTAATGATATATACACAAGAAATCAAAAGCGTTCTGCTTCAAAACTTAAGAATTTATATAAATTATATAAATTACTATTACAAGTAATCATTAGTCTTGTAGACATGACAGGAACAACATCCATGTGTGCGTGTAAGCCTGGCAGAAACAAAAAAAATTGTTTTTAGTCCTTGCAGAAACAACAACAATGTGTGTAGGCCTGGAAGAAACAACAACAATCTTGCAGAAGCAACAACAATCTTGTGCGTAGGCCTGGCAGAAACAATATTGCATGTAGACCTGGCAAAACGGCAACAATTTTGTAGAAGCAACAACAATCTTATCTGTAGGCCTGGGAGAAAAAACAAGCATCTTGCAGAAACAACAAGCTTGTGTAGACCTAGCTGAAATAACAACAGTCTTGCTGAAACATCAAGTCTTATGCAGGCCTACCTGAAACAATCTTGCAGATACTACAACAATCTTGTGTAGACCTGGCTGAGATATCAAACATGCAGAAACAACAACAATCTTGCGTGTAAACAAGAACAACAACAAAAAACTAAGTGTAATAACGTAGGCACAAAATGACTTTATTCGTCATTGCGAATCTAGACATTTCTCATTCGGAAAATGACAAGTCTATTTCTCGAGTTTACTGTATGTATAATGCCAAGAATAACAACACTACGCTGCAGCATCTAGCCACAAACATACCTTGGATATTTGTGTTCCCCGCCCATACTGGCGCTTGTTGAGGTTGTCTGAGGTACTGTGGCTGCTACAGTTGTACTAGTACTACTAGTACTGGTGTTAGTACCACCTGTAGCAATACTAGAGTGAGTATCATCTGTGTCTTCCTGCTCATCCCTCGCATTCATCACTGTAAGATCCACATATCTCTTTACACATACGATATATCCAGGTTAATACTCATCATCAGCCATCCAGAGATCAGGAATCAGCTGTGATATATATATAAATCTCGACGGGATTGGTTTATAGAGCACTAAATAAGGTGTAGAACACAGAGATGAGCTGCAGCCGTGCACAACACTCGACCAACCTTCCTCAACTGACCTTCAGCAGAGCCTCGTGACAACACATACTCTGCTTCGCCGCGTTTGGTGGGAGATTTTGTTGGCGCTGAATACTTGCTTATGTGATACACTGCTTACTCTTGGCTTCACTCCCACCGTCCCATTACATTTACGCTATTTGTAGCGTCAAAAATACTATATAATTTTTTCTTAAATATACGCTCTTTAATAAAATGCACTGCGCTTATTAATTCAAACGAAATGCATACCAAAGTTAACTATATATATCTTAGAAGGGAATGGGTCCGCAAAACCACAGATGCTAATATACTCTACAATTTATTTAATAGCACAGTTTAACTAACCAGTTAAATGTACAAATGTGCAAATTTTCAACATCTACGAAATTAATTATATATAGGTAAGATTATATTTATATATAATTTATCTATTATTGGTTCTGGGGATTATCTCCCCTACGACCAGGACTCAGGAGGATCGAAGGGAAATATTACTTTTTTGAGTTATCCTAGGTTCTTTACACATATGCTGCTATGTACGATAATCTATGTAACTATATTTGTGTTAACCTGAATAAACTTACTAATTCGTAAATGATTTACTTCAATACTGAATGTAAGTGAAAATTTACTTGTCATCTTACGTGTTTATGAGACTGATTTACCTGTCATCTTACGTGTTCATGAGACAGAAAGATCAATATTCCTGCCATAGTGTAAAAAGAAAAGTTTCCATTACTCATTTGATATGACTAGTGCCTTCCCTTCCATGGATGGCACCCTTCCCTGGATGGCACCCTTCCCTGGCTGTCATCCTTCCCTGGCTGTCATCCTTCCCTGGCTGTCATCCTTCCCTGGCTGTCATCCTTCCCTGGCTGTCATCCTTCCCTGGCTGTGGCATCCTTCCCCGTGATGTTATCCTTCCCTGGATGTCATCCTTCCCTGGATGTCATCCTTCCCTGGATGGCATCCTTCCCTGGATGTCATCCTTCCCTGGCTGTCATCCTTCCCTGGCTGTCATCCTTCCCTGGCTGTCATCCTTCCCTGGCTGTCATCCTTCCCTGGCTGTCATCCTTCCCCGGATGTTATCCTTCCCTGGATGTCATCCTTCCCTGGATGTCATCCTTCCCTGGATGTCATCCTTCCCTGGATGTCATCCTTTCCCTGGATGTTATCCTTCCCTGGATGTCATCCTTTCCTGGATGTCATCCTTCCCTGGATGTCATCCTTCCCTGGATGTTATCCTTCCCTGGATGTCATCCTTCCCTGGATGTCATCCTTCCCTGGATGTCATCCTTCCCTGGATGTCATCCTTCCCTGGATGTCATCCTTCCCTGGATGTCATCCTTCCCTGGATGTTATCCTTCCCTGGATGGCATCCTTCCCTGGATGTTATCCTTCCCTGGATGGCACCCTTGCCTAGGTGTCATCCTTCCCTGGATGTCATCCTTCCCTGGATGTCATCCTTCCCTAGATGTCATCCTTCCCTGGATGTCATCCTTCCCTGGATGTCATCCTTCCCTGGATGTTATCCTTCCCTGGATGGCACCCTTCCCTGGATGTTATCCTTCCCTGGATGTCATCCTTCCCTGGATGGTACCCTTCCCTGGCTGTCATCCTTCCCTGGATGTCATCCTTCCCTGGATGTCATCCTTCCCTGGATGTCATCCTTCCCTGGATGTCATCCTTCCCTGGATGTCATCCTTCCCTGAATGTCATCCTTTCCTGGATGGCATCCTTCCCTGGCTGTCATCCTTTCCTGGATGGCACCCTTCCCTGGATGGCACCCTTCCCTGGATGTCATCCTTCCCTGGATGTCATCCTTCCCTAGATGTCATCCTTCCCTGGATGTCATCCTTCCCTGGCTATCATCCTTTCCTGGATGGCACCCTTCCCTGGTTGTCATCCTTCCCTGGTTGTCATCCTTCCCTGGTTGTCATCCTTCCCTGGTTGTCTCCTTCCTGGTGTCATCCTTCCCTGGTATGATCCATCCTGGATGGCACCTCCTGGCTGTCATCCTTCCCTGGATGGCATCCTATCCCTGGATGGCATCCATTCCCTGGATGGCACTTCCCTGTGACCTCCTGGATGGCACCTTCCCTGCATGAATAACTTTCCTGGATGGCACCCTTCCCTGCAGGGACAACTTTCCCCTGGATGGCACCCTTCCCTGCATGAAAACTTTCCTGGATGGCACCCTTCCCTGCATGACAACTTCCCTGGATGGCACCCTTCCCTGCATGACAACTTTCCTGGATGGCACCCTTCCCTGCATGACAACTTCCCTGGATGGCACCCTTCCCTGCATGACAACTTCCTGGATGGCACCCTTCCCTGCATGACAACTTCCCTGGATGGCACCCTTCCCTGCATGACAACTTCCCTGGATGGCACCCTTCCCTGCATGACAACTTTCCTGGATGGCACCCTTCCCTGCATGACAACTTCCCTGGATGGCACCCTTCCCTGCATGACAACTTTCCTGGATGGCACCCTTCCCTGCATGACAATTCCGGATGGCACCCTTCACTGATGACAACTTCCTGGATGGCACCCTTCCCTGCATGACAACTTTCCTGGATGGCACCCTTCCCTGCATGACAACTTTCCTGGATGGCACCCTTCCCTGCATGACAACTTCCCTGGATGGCACCCTTCCCTGCATGACAACTTCCCTGGATGGCACCCTTCCCTGCATGACAACTTCCCTGGATGGCACCCTTCCCTGCATGACAACTTCCCTGGATGGCACCCTTCCCTGCATGACAACTTCCCTGGATGGCACCCTTCCCTGCATGACAACTTCCCTGGATGGCACCCTTCCCTGCATGACAACTTCCCTGGATGGCACCCTTCCCTGCATGACAACTTCCCTGGATGGCACCCTTCCCTGCATGACAACTTCCCTGGATGGCACCCTTCCCTGCATGACAACTTCCCTGGATGGCACCCTTCCCTGCATGACAACTTCCCTGGATGGCACCCTTCCCTGCATGACAACTTCCTGATGGCACCTTCCCTGCATGACACTTCCGGATGGCACCCTTCCCTGCATGACAACTTCCCTGGATGGTCCCCCTTCCCTGCATGACAACTTTCCTGGATGGCACCCTTCCCTGCATGACAACTTCCCTGGATGGCACCCTTCCCTGCATGACAACTTTCCTGGATGGCACCCTTCCCTGCATGACAACTTTCCTGGATGGCACCCTTCCCTGCATGACAACTTTCCTGGATGGCACCCTTCCCTGCATGACAACTTCCCTGGATGGCACCCTTCCCTGCATGACAATTTCCCTGGATGGCACCCTTCCCTGCATGACAACTTCCCTGGATGGCACCCTTCCCTGCATGACAATTTCCCTGGATGGCACCCTTCCCTGCATGACAACTTCCCTGGATGGCACCCTTCCCTGCATGACAACTTCCCTGGATGGCCCCCTTCCCTGGATGTTATCCTTCCCTGGATGGCACCCTTCCCTGACTGTCATCCTTCCCTGGATGTCATCCTTCCCTGGATGTCATCCTTTCCTGGATGGCACCCTTCCCTGGATGGTACCCTTCCTTGGCTGTCATCCTTCCCTGGATGGTACCCTTCCTTGGCTGCCATCCTTCCCTGGATGTCATCCTTCCCTGGATGTCATCCTTTCCTGGATGGCATCCTTCCCTGGCTGTCATCCTTTCCTGGATGGCACCCTTCCCTGGATGTCATCCTTCCCTGGATGTCATCCTTCCCTAGATGTTATCCTTCCCTGGATGTCATCCTTCCCTGGCTATCATCCTTCCCTGGATGGCACCCTTCCCTGACTGTCATCCTTCCCTGGATGTCATCCTTCCCTGGATGTCATCCTTCCCTGGCTGTCATCCTTCCCTGGCTGTCATCCTTCCCTGGTTGTCATCCTTCCCTGGTTGTCATCCTTCCCAGGTTGTCATCCTTCCCTGGTTGTCATCCTTCCCTGGTTGTCATCCTTCCCTGGCTGTCATCCTTCCCTGGATGGCATCCATCCCTGGATGGCATCCATCCCTGGATGGCATCCTTCCCTGGATGGCACCCTTCCCTGCATGATAACTTTCCTGGATGGCACCCTTCCCTGCATGATAATTTTCCTGGATGGCACCCTTCCCTGCATGACAACTTCCCTGGATGGCACCCTTCCCTGCATGACAACTTCCCTGGATGGCACCCTTCCCAGCATGACAACTTTCCTGGATGGCACCCTTCCCTGCATGACAACTTCCCTGGATGGCACCCTTCCCTGCATGACAACTTCCCTGGATGGCACCCTGAAAAATCTTATGTGTAGCTTCTTTATAGATAACTAACACGGCTTCTGATCTGAGGAATTGGAGCTACCCACACTAATTACTTCCTCCTCCAAGTAAGTACAAAGAGGTGTAAACTGCGGAGTGACGGACTCCAGTAAACGTGTACGTGAAGGGATGTACAATAATTTAACACATTTCGATCCCAGTCGGACCGAAACGTCGTCGGTTTATTTGTGTATCGTTCCAGTCACAGTATTGTGTCGTTTTGTTCTTTTCAGTAAATTTAACAATTTAACATACTGGGACAAAATTAGTAAAGATTTATCAGACATACCCTGCGCAGCCTCAGTCCTCACCAGAGGTGGACCTACATCTTTGTGGCCCTGAAGCTTCAACTGTCATAGGGTCACCATGGCAACCAGCAGCGGCTGCCTTACATATTTTAATAACTTTTTAATTTTTATTTTAACTATTTGCACTGAATTACACTATTATTAATATTATGTTTAAAAAAAAATCAAACCCAAAATTTTTTAGCAATGTGGATTAAAATGACTTCTGGGGTCCCTCAGGGATTAGGGGCCCTCAAGCTTAAGCATCATTTCCAGTGCCTGGAAAGATTGTAAGATTATATACCGTATTTTCCGGCATATATGGCGCGCTTTTTTCCTAAAAAAAATTTGGAAAATCACTCTGCGTCTTATATGCTCAAAAGTAGGTTCTGGGTGACTGGCAAGGTGGTGTTTTGTAAGAGGATATGCGGT